CAGTGAGAACAAAAAGTACAAAATGCATGCCATCCCGTCTGGTAAGCCTTCTGCGTATTTGAAGCTGACGCTGCAGTTAACAACCGTTTTTCTCACCTGCTATCAAGCTTGGTGAAGGCTGGGGACAGGCGTCATTGACCGGTCCACACGTGGAGCTAATGCACGGAAACGAGCCATCTGGAAACGAGACAGGGAATCTGTAATGTCATTGCTTATACGCGGGATATGGACTGCCTTAAATGTAATATTATACCGCAGACACTGACATACGAACTGCCTTACAAAATGCATGATTCGATCACAACTAGAGGATTAGTTATTGATAATGTGCACCACTGCCTCATTATCTGTCTGAAAACGCACCCGCTGGTTTGCTAGATAGGGGGCCCAGCAATGCACAGCGACCACTAAAGGATAAAATTCGCAGTATGCAATTAAAGGTGTCAACAGCTCTGGGGACCACCTGCCTTGAAACCAGCGGCCACTAAAATAACCTCCAAAACCAATGCTCCCCGCAGCATCTGTAAATAACTCTAATGCATCACTATCGAGCCAGCCCTGATCATGAAAGGGGGAAACTCCATTGAAATGTTCCAGAAATTCCAACCACATGAGCAAGTCAAGCTTAGCACCGGGAGAAAGGTGGACTTTTTGATGGGTTTTTTTAAGTTGCAAGTTAACCCGATCAAGCGCCGCATAAAGGCTCAGCCTGGAGTGACAGCCCAACACACAAAATTTAGTGAACCGACTATGGACTGAATTTCTTTGAGCGATAACTTCTTTACACTTACAAAATTAAAAAAAAAAAAATGAATGCCGATGTCTTTTCTGTCTTCACAAACCATCTTTCAACAACCTTTTCTAATGTTAAAATGCTTGTTTTTATATGTTTTCCTACTTCATTTGCAATGTTTGAAAAGAAATTTCTGTCATTTTCATGAGTTCCACTTGCGTTTTGCAGTCGCAGTTGTGAAATTTTGTGCGCAAAGCTCAATTCATGAAAGTAAAGCTGCGCTGGTTCCCACCACATCGCGCCCATGCAAAAGAACGCGAGATGGAAATGTGCTAACCAGTCTTTACGTCCCGGTCGCGAGTTGATTAAAACTACATTGGTGTCGTACACGCATGCAGCCATACAGCCGCATGTCAAAAAAACATTGATGTTGCAAGAGGATTTCTGCAAGTTAATTCACTGATATTGGTCTCTTGTATATGTATTTATTTACTGTGCCAAGTTCCTGCCATGGCACGTGGTTTATTGCCCGTCTGGATGCATCATGCATGCTTACCACACGATACATTGCTGGCCAGTTTTCCGTCGTGAATACCTGACTAACATTGCGTTATTTGTCCATAATTCTTGTGATTTCTCGACTGCTGAAATTGTACATATATCAAGACATGTTTGTATCACTGTTTGAGACAATATTTGAAAGCTTTCATCCCCATTCAGGCTATTACATCAGCACAACAAATTGACCAAACAAAATTCCGACCTACCGATACTATTTTTTTTAGAGGCATGTAGTCAGAAGTGGCTTGAACAGTGAAAAAGAATAGTGTGCACGTGCGGTATCATGCTGTACCGTGTGCTTTGCTCTACCGGTACTACAACCCACCAGTCCTCTCTGTTCATGGCGTTCACGGTCGCTTACCGCCCTATCGCACGAGCATCACGTTTCAAAAACACAAGTAAAAACACATCCATAACAACTCAGTTTTTGCAATATTGTATTTATTATCATTTTTCGCTAGAATTTGTACGCAGGGCTGGTACTATTTCGAGGCTTAGCATATACTCGGGACCTGGGAAAATGCCGAGCACGTGGTGCAGAGAGCAGATTGCATTGTATGGAACGCCAAAGGGGACAAATGTTTAAAATCTGTAATCTGCATTTTTTCCACGGTAACAATCATGTTTTGTAATGTATTTTGTATTGTACATGTCTGATCGGGTTGAAACCTTGCAGATACATGTAGTTAGGAAGGGAAGGTTCATAAACGTAGATTGACTTTAGGTGATGACAATCTCATCAGCAAACAAGTCACGTGACATTAAGGTGGACTGTTTTGATATCAAACTTATCAGATATCAAGGAAAGGAAGTGTTCCAGACGAAAATTTTCCCGATGTGATAATGACATCAAATGAGGAGCTAAATTGCATTTTATTTAAAACAAGTTATTTCCTGCAGTGCATGCCTGATTGGGTTGAAACTTTGGACCGAAATGTTCATGATGAAATGGTTATCAGGTTCGTACAGTAGATTGGTTGTTCAAATTAACAAAGGAATGGGAAAAAGCCCTCTGTTCTGTTGGCCAACAGCTCTAGTTTTTCTCCTTCCTCCTTTTCTGCTCAAAAGCCCCTTTGTTTGGTGGACGTTTTTCTGTACATGACTTTAATGCTTTTGCAACTTCGGATCTGTATCAAACTTGTACCAATGAAGAACCCTTATGCACAGATGGTCCTAAAAACATGACAACATGATGACGTCATTAACTGATTATTTATTTCAGTCCATTGACTTTGTACACGTTTTCGAGGCACCATTTTGGTAACTTAAATTCGTCGATCGTCATCAAAATTACAACAAGCAAAGACCTGGAAGCAAAGATAATACTGAAATAATTACGTCATGATGACATCAAGTGATTTGTTATTAAATTTTGAAAATTAGATATTATAATAAATTTGTAAAAATCCATACAAAATCAACCGTGGCCTCCCACAAAATTGTGTTTGTGGGAAGTGCCAGAGTAAAATTTGGTCTTCAATTTATCTCGTGTGGGTCAAATCTTTTGACCCTTCCTTTTGGTTGAAAACAAATGTGGGCTTATTGTTTACAAGTGTTAATGCATGTCAATTTGTTTTCAACAAAGTTAATCTGAGGCACATTACTCCTCAAATCATCTACTGATGACATCACATAATTGTTGAGCGCCCTCTAGCGACAGGTCAAAAATTCCGCAAAATGAATTTTGAATAGATGTTGGGCAGTTTGTCCGAATCGCCTGAAAATTGATGTAAATGATCATTCTCACCCAGAAACACTTGTGTGAAGGGGCTGAGGACGTTATCATACCGGCAGTTATAATAAAAAGTCCTTTTGTTCTTGAAAATTTGGTAAAAAGTCAACCGTAACAGATTCAAGCGTGAATTGTTCATTAGATGATATCTAAAACATTGAAGTCAACTGCATAAAGTGCATAAGTGGTGTACTTCTTCACACAGATGAAGCATTGACGACAAAACCCCCATTCGCATAGTGTGCATTGGCTACTGTATGTGTGGACGCGCAATATCTGCCTGTAACATAGGCAGTGCACAATGTGTAGGGCATATACTCAGGAGTTGGAAAATTGCCAAGCACATGGTGCCAAGAGCAGATCACATTGTATGGAACGCCAAAAGAGAAAAATGTTTGCGATCTCTAATCTGCGCTCTTTCTGTGATAACAATGTTTTGTAGTGCTATATCTCCTTAGGTGCAAGTCCTATTGGGTTGAAACTTGGCAGGCATTTAGAAAGTGAAGTGTTACAAATGAAAATTGATGTCATGTGATGATGACATCACCAGATGATCATTGAATATTAAAGGTGCACTCTTCAAAGCACTATATCTTGTGAAGTACATGTCAAATTGGGTTCAAGGCTTGCAGATATGTAAGAAGGGAATGCTTTAGACAAAAATTGACCTGATGTGATGATGTCGTCATTTTGTGATAAGTCACGTGACACTTAAGGTGCACTCTTCAAAGCACTATATCTCGTGAAGTACATGTCAAATTAGGTTCAAACCTTGCAGGTATCTTAGAAGGAGAGTGCTTTAGGGAAAAATATACCTGATGTGATGTTGACGTCATGTGACAAGTCATGTGACATTAAAGGTACACTCTTGAATGCACTATTTTGTTAAGTACATGTCTGATTGGGTTGAAACCTTGCATATATCTTAGAAGGAGAGTACTTTAGGTGACTATTGACTTGATGTGATGTTGACGTCATGTGACAAGTCATGTGATATTAAAGGTGCACTCCTACAAGCACTCTATCTCGTGAAGTACATTTTCGATTGGTTCAAACCTTGCAGATATCTTGAAAGGGAAGTTATTTACACGCATGTTACCCCCATGTTATGATGACGTCATCACGGGACAAGTCATGTGACATTAAAGATGCAGTTTTCAAAGAACTGTATCTCCGGAAGCACGTTTATTTTTGGTTTAATCTATAGATGTAAGTGTATGAATATGAACATTCTCAAACATTTTGTGCTATGCCAGCATGGCAATTTTCTTCACAACCACAAAGAGGCAACAACACCCTGTGTTTTGTCCTAGAGTCTTGTGATGATGACGTCATCAGTTTTTATTATTGATTTTTAAATGTTTATTTTTCTCTATAGATTTTGTACGCGTTTTTCGACATGGATTTGTATTGGTCTGAATGACAGAGGGACTCTCAACTTTAGCCGGGAATTACTTTTATTTGTGTGTCTTTGTTCGATTACAAATATACCCTACAGTCCAAATGTCAAATAATATTTCCAAATGTGTTTTTCAATATAAACACAAATCATGTGACATGATTTTAAGGCTGCAGTTTTTCTCTGTATGTTTTTGTGCACGTTTTTCTAAAGTCAGAAACTGGTGCATTCATACATCTGAGTGACTTGGGAGCATATGTAGTCCATCAACCCGTAGCTAGGGCTGTCAAAATGTCAGTGGTTCGCCTGGGGATTACTGTGAGAATTTCAGACAAATCAGAGGAAACTTTCCCTTTCAGAAAAATGAAAAACTCTAAAACAGCTCTGTGTTGGTCCACAAACACGTCTCGTATTCATTTTCTTTTCATTATAAACTGTTTATTTTTTGTTGACAAATTATCTCTGATATTTGATGCCAGCATGTCAATGTATGTACACTGTGCTTTGTTCATTATTGTCCTCGCATGACATTTACATGCACTCGCAAATGTATGTATGTATATTTTATCATTTAGAGCCCCATTACAGCTTCATGAGCTTGTGAACTGTCGATGGGCTGAGGAGGTAACAAATCAACTAGACACACTACAACTATGCACCCCACACTCAAGATCAGACGAACAAGAAAGAGATAAGTAAGTATTCACTTTAAAGCATGTGATAATGAGTTGATCTATGACAGTTTCACACAAGCACTGACAACAAATAAGGGTGATAAATGACAGTGTGGGAACTAAGGTCCCTTCAAATTCAAACCAGCTGTATGTTTTAGCATGACATCACACACTCCTCAAAGCCAACTGACTCCACATGGAAACAAGTGATGGGATGTCAACTACCCTTTAAACAGAACAGCAGTATTTGGTAGCCATTGGCTCCTAATGGGAAAAATGTAGGCGCCAGCACTTTTATGAAAACTTAGTAATCACGTGTGCTGAATATTCATGAATGTATGTACATGTAGTATAAATACCCTGCGTTTACATTGTCCATCCATGCCGAAGAATCATGACCTGGCGTGGCACATGTCCACCACACAACTTGCATATCGCATATATAGCGGGCATAATATAAAAATTATGGCACCTGCTTACATTATTTATTTGTTTACTAGTTTACGCCATTTTATTGTCAGCCAACCAGTGGAGATTAGTGCATTTCCGGCTAAGTTAGCAAAAAGTTTTCACACGCTGTACGAAAATACAAATATCCTAAATCTAAAGGATACATATATTTAAAAATAACAAGAAAAACCCAGGGATTCTGTTTACAGAAGATAATTATTAATTAACAATAAAAATAAATAAAGGGCCTAGCTCGAAGTTGTGTTGAAGTTGGGGATGACTTGTCCTGGCTTCACTTGGCACTAAGCTGGGGAGCCTGCAGTCGAAGGACTTGCAGTTCAAGGGGGCTTGAATGAACTCTGAGGATCGTTGGCTACATGTACGTGCGGATGGTGTGCAGGGCTCGATTGCACAGTCTCTCCTTCCCCCACTTGGGTAAATCAGGTGTGGGGAACACAATGCATGCGACTCTTACCCTGGTTCCTCAGTACTAGTGGTGTCTTTGCCTAGAGCAGGACAGGGACGAATCTGTAATTGTGGCAGGTTCAATGCAAGGAGAGATCACAGAGACAACAGAACAGTCTCTGTTGAGTCCAGTAGCCAAGTGGAGTGAAGTACTAACTATACTAAGTAAAACAGTTGTATGGACTATTAAAAGTGAAAGTCCCTTTAAAACACTACACTGTGTGTAAGGTTGTGATGGTTACCAGTGCCGGCCAATGCCCACGTCCACCTGGGTACCTCATTTGTGTGTGGGGGTTGGTCTACACAGAAATGACGAAGGTGCTACAAGGAGACTATAACAAGACCGGTGTCTGAGGAATTACAAGGTTACAACTGTTGCAGTCAAACTTTGGAAGTCTGAGTCTGGGAAATGTGAGTGACTCATAATCAGGAGGTAAAAGTTAATTAAGATTAAACATTAAAATGTCAAAGTTCTGGGCAATCAAATCGATTTAAAGCAAAAGGAATACACATCAAAAGATTAAACATCCGGATATAAGAACTGAAATAGAATTAAAAAAACTACTGAATATATGGAACTATGGTAAAAACTAGATAAAGGTGAATCAAGTCAAATGATTGAAACTTATCAAGTAATAAAACACAGAAGAATGTTGCAAATTCAAAGACTTAACTTGTACAAGAGGGAAATATCCCTCTCTTCACTTTAGTCAAGGGAATGTGATTATTCAATGTATGCTAGAAGTAATATATCATAAAAACGTAAGTAAAATAATATTATACAAGTAATCCTAGGAATCACGTCTTTCTAAATTAAGTTTTACTTAATTTAAGTTAAGTAAATTAAAAGTTTTACTTAATTTAGACAAGTCACCAGAGATCTTTTACATGGGAATGGTAAACTTCCAAATCAATGGTCA